TAATATACGTGATTGCAGATAAAAAATTGCGGTATTTTGTAAAGCTTGTCTTTATTCTCGTATGAGAAAAAAGCGGTGCGAATCTCTAAAAAGAAATCAGATCTTAAAGAAATTGAAGCAACAAATGCTAAACGGTTTGAAGTTGTCATTTGTCTTTAATTAAGTGTCCAAACGTTGCTTCTTAAAGTTCTGTGATATTGCTCGGTTCGCCATCCAGTGATGAGTGTAATCATGTTTGGTATTTCATTCATCATCTTTGCTAAAGATGTAATTAATAACTTTTGAATAATCTAATAAACTCCTTTTATTCAGTTATTATCATAACAGAATTATTCCACAAAATGTTCACAAGAGAATTAAGATAAATTTTAATATGTCTGTGTTCCCTACACATTTTTCCTATTCATTTTTTGTTCCTTGTTGATTTACAATCCCCGAGATCATTTGCAGTTGTAGAGCTACGAAGTTTGACATATACTCGGCACTCAGGATCAATCAAACAGTGAAGGATCTATTTCATGCTGGCAGCATTTACTGGGACACTGGATCTCGATTTAAACGGCAATATATGGAAATTTGCAAACAGTATTTAAGTTCAAAAAACCTTTATACAATATATTGTTGTATATCGTTTAACGTCCCTCTCCAGAATATTTCACTGATATGTAGACATCACCGTTGTCGGTGAAGGGCTGCAAATTTTGGCCTTTGCTCGGCACTTACGGCCTTTGAGCAGGGAGGGATCTTTATCGGGCCACACTTGCTGTGACACGGGGCCTCGGTTTATACAGTCTCATCCGAAGGACCGCCCCATTTTGTCGCCTTTTACGACAAGCAGGGGAGTATTGAGAACCTATTTTTACCCGGATTCCCACGGGGATAAATAATATAATATAAAATTGTACAATTTATTAGTGTGGAGCAGAGCAAGAAAAAAATCCAAATCTATAACAAATGTGTCAGGTTTTCATAATACGAAAGCTTCAAATGTAAATTAGCTAGGTAAACTAAGTTTTAACCGTGTGTCAGATTATAAATTACTGGGTATTTCATTAAGTGTGTTATCTTGCAAACAATCATTTTCAATAAATTTGTGAGGGAATAGAGTGCTAAGTTGTAAATAATTGAGATTTAAATATTTTCAAGGCTTACAAATGCCAGATGAATTGGCGTTACTATCTATCACCCAGAAATAAACAATTTGACACACATTTTGGTTCCTTTTAAAAAAAAAAGCTCTGTCGAAAAACATTGTTTCCGAAAAATGTACTTCTTACTGTGTTTTGAGACGGGTTATTTTAACTTATTTTAAAATTTTGTTCCTATTTCCATTTTGTACACAGCATTTAAGTTAACAATAAAATATTTTGACATGAGATTAATAGAAATGGAAATATTGAATACATTCACTTTAATACGATTTTTAAACACTTTTACCAATCTAATGATTGTTTGAAATCTTTGAAAGCCCCTGAAATTTGTAGATTATGTAAACTGTAGAAGATATTGAAAAAAAATAATAATACAGCGTCAACATTTTATGAAATTTTTAGACTTTAAGGGCTATTTTATTGTACATTTCACTGTAAGAAGGATTATTATTCTTTTTTTACAGAATATCAAAAATTTAAAACCTTGTAATTTTATTGCAATTTTTTTAACCCTTTAAAGGTCAACTGAAAAGGTTCTTAAAGCCTGTTTTAACTTATTATTTGGGGAGTTGATACCTAAACAAAAATTGTACCATGATTTTTTTTTTACCCCGGTGATACACAAGTAAAATTTCTCAAATACGAAACTCAGATAGGACGGTCCGATATGAGTTATCTGCCCTTTAGTGGAACATGGCGTCGCCCATGGCCATTGACGAAAGAATTTTACAGAACCTTTCCATGTATCATGTATATATGGCATAAGAAATCAATATGTTAATATTTGTACGTTTTTTTTTTTGGTGTTTTATTTTTACATCATTTTAATAAAGAGTTGTCTTTTTTTTTCAAAAAATGGTTATTTTTACAATTGTTGGATGGAAGATCCTCTTAAGGATATCCGATCCTCAGCCAGGAAGGATAACTCCAAAAATTAATATTTAATTTGAAATGCATCAAAATGAAGCTTGAAAATGAAATTTTTTGATACAACAATTTTCATTGTATCCACCTTTATAAGATTCAAGGCTTTTTTGAAGTCTTAGAAAAGGTCTATTTGTACCCTATAAAAGGAAAAAAATTAAAATAGTTTTAGAGAAATAAGATTTTCTTGAATCCAGCCTTAAATACCAATGCTTATTAGCAAGATATTAAATAAGAATGATTTGTGGTGTCTTGCAATGATAGCAAGAGCCTTTTACGCTACGTATTATTAAATATAGGACGGAAATAGAAAACAAAAAATACCAAATAAGTATAAAAATCATGACAATTTTTCTGAATGCCTGGATACCTATCGTTTTTTAACCTTAAATATTTTTGTTGATCAATTTGCGATTAAAAAATGCATAGCAGATATTCCAATTCGCTTTTTCTGCAAAAATATTGGAGATTTGGCAATTTTCCCTATATAATATGATTAACTTTAATCTTAACTTTTGAAGAAATACTGTGGATAAATTGACATAACTTTGTGGATTCAGATATACTTTTATGAGTATTTTTGATTACTTAACTCCTAATTTTATAAACCTGAGTATCGGACTACATTAAGGTCATTTAATATTTGAAAGATGTTAATGCAGACTTTTTTACACTGTATTTTTCTAAAAAAAAATTATATTGTGTATGTAAGCACATTGTCAGTTTAAATTCAAATGTGGTACCCGTATTTAAATCAAAGAGAAAATACAAGGAGATCTAATAAATAAAAATTAACTAAATATATTTATTATAATATTCTGTTCAAATTTACTTAACTAATCGATAGATTAAAAAAGACCGTCTTTTGAAAACTATGCTTTGTTCTTTGAAATTTTAAATAAGCTATTAGTAAAAATGTGGGTCACAGATTTATTAAACATGTAGCTTTAAAAAAAAAAAGAAAAACAAAATTTAGTTCACGATTGCAAGAAAAAAATTGCTGAAGTCTAGATAATTGGAATATAAACGTCTGGAATAGCTTTAAATGTCAGGGAAATCGAGATCATCATCAATTAAGGAGGCAAGAATCTTTCAACAATAATTCTCTCCAGGATAGTTTTCACCAAAAGTCTTGCTGCCATAATAACGAAATAAACAAAATTTTACAATAACTTGGTATTTTTTTAATGAATGTTACATTTTTTTCTGTAAAGATTTACATAAAAATGTATTTTCAAAAGTTTCAATAATGCAGCATATCTTTCAGTATTGATCGATTGATTGTATACTTTTTAACGTCCCTCTCCAGAATACTAGTATTTCACTGATATGGAAACGTCAGCATTGCCGACGAAGGGTTGCAAATTTAGGCCTATGCTCGGCATTAACGGCCTTTGAGCAGGGAGGGATCTTTATCGTGCCACACCTGCTGTGACACGGGGCCTTGGTTTATACGGTCTCACCCGAAGGACCACCCCATTTAGTCGCCTTTTAGGACAAGCAAAGGGGTACTGAGGACCTATTCTAACCCGGATCCCCACGGGGTCATTTCAGTACTGTGCATAGTCTAAGGTTAATTTTTATTCATTTGCAAGGAATATATACGTTTCTCGATTTTCTATTGTTTCAAATTTTAATCTATTTAATTGTAATTTGAGAAAAGCAACCTTTCTCTATTTTTTATGACACTCGATGTTAATAAAGTTGTATCTGTTCTAGAAAAATTTCTTCAAATTTTTCATGTGGGTTTTTGTGTCATTGAGTCAACCCACAATGTTTTTCATGTTTTTTTTCTGTTTTATGACTCATATTATTAGTAACACAGTCAGTTAGTGACCTAATACGGATTCATACAGAGTGTGAAATGGAAATCCGTATTGGGCGAGGCGAATTTATCCCGCTGAAGACCTTTTTTAATATAAAACAAAAAATATAAGTTCTAATTCAATAATCATCAACATAAAATATCGTTAGGGTAACAAGAGTTTTAACTAAACTACCTACATAAACCGTTTTTTATCCGCCATTTGTATTTTAAAAATCAACGCCTCGAAGGTAATCGCGTGCGCGATTTTCATATTAATTACTCCTTGACGGCGACGTAATACGGAAAATTTCAGGGCTTCATGTGATCAGCCTTCATCCAATCAGCAATCTACAAATTTGTCTGAGGCGGGATAATTTTAATTCAACTGATTAAATGAGAAGATCTTAGATGATTTTTCGTGGATCTTTATCATTTCAAGTCTTAATGTGACTTTAGTACAGTACCTCATATTAGCTAATTCGGTGGAGCTCTAGGGTTCTCTATCGTGCGCGTAGAGAATTAACATTTACTTAATTAGTATTTTTTCAGGTCAGTCTCGGACGTTTTTTGTCAGCATGAAATGCCGATGAGATCTTGAAATCAAGACTCCTGATATTTGACGCATTAGCACGATAGAGAACCCGCACTTCTCATTGTTTGAGAAAAAAAAAGACTATTGGCCCTGTGTGACAATTTAAGGTCAAAATGTGAAGCTTTTTAACGAAATAGTCTGATGTCTAAGAGTTTCTGTTAGCAATTACCTTGTGACTGATATAATCTATTAAGTCAAATGCTGAGTTACGATTTTCCCTGTAAGATCATTTTTACACACTGAGTTGTCGAAGGATTTTTTTTTATTTTTTTTTCAGTGATTAAAGCCGCTTTGCCTTGTTCTTTCCTCTTCGGTATCTGATTCAATTGCTTAAATTTGATTAAGGGGTTCATGTTTTCTTTACTTCTAAATAGTATGAAATTTTTTCTTGATTACTGTGCGTTGTCTTCATACATGTATCTCTTAAATCTGTCATAAGCAGGTCACTGATAAAACTCTGTTAAAGCATTCTTATCAGTTCTTATCAATATAGATTCAAATTTATTCTGTACATTAGATCCATATTGTAGTTCAGATTATACCAAGTATGGGAGTCTACAAATTTGTTATTCTTTTCTTCTTCATAGACTGCATAAAATCGGAAGACCAGCTAGACTCTGGTAGTGTACATTGTGTGGATGACATACAAGCACTGCGGACGGAATTGATTGAATTGAGAGAAAAGGTCCTTCTACAGGAAACGAAAATCCTACACCAGAAAGGGGAAATAAATCAACTCCGACAGGAAGTGGATAGAAAACCGGAACAAAGAGCAACTCAGAAGTCTGACCAACTTCAGGGCGGAACTCAGAGGACTGACAAGTTTGGCTCTTCTGAATCCTCCACTCCGTTACAAAAATGGTCAAACACAAAGCGATTATTAATGAATTCAGGAAACTTTTCTTCTTCTGGTGGTTCGGGTAAGTCTTTGACGTATACTTTGCATCTACATACATGTACTCAATGAGACTCACTGGATTATCTAAGGAATGAATCTTATGTCAACTTATGTTATAAAGTATAGCATAAGTTGAAATAAGTTTCATCCCTTATACTTTAATTTCAATGTAGACAATGAGATAATTTTTTCCGTTTTTTCCCTTGGAAAAAGGCTTCAGATATCGCATATTTTAAAAGTTAACGTCAAGCGGAGTCATGAGACGTAACTCATTGTGACGTAGGCGATTTATGTTATACAAAATGGATAAAACTGTTTTACCAATCAAATGATTTGTAACAACTGAAATTAAATTATATCCCCCTACCCTGCAACCCATGTGCGCACAATTGCAATTAAGATTTACTCTTCAATATCGGAGAGCGCAAATATCTGAGTGATCAAAATATATAGTAACTTAAAGACTATTAAATTTAATATTATGCATTCAAAATATTTCATTTTGACTAGATTTTTTTTTCAAAATTATGAGATGAAATAAACAAATACAAAAATACTTTTTCATTTGATATGATTTGTATCATATGTCCATGTTTATACAAATAATTTTATTTTCTAGGTTCTCCAAAAATAGCTTTTTATGCCAATCGAATCAAAGAAAACCATAACCTGGCAGTTCACCAAGCCTTGATTTTTTCGAATGATTTAACAAACGTGGGAAACTGTTATCATCATTCTACCGGAACTTTCATTCCGAACATTTCTGGAATCTACGTATTTGACGTCACAATACTTCTCTGCTCCCCGGGTCATGAACTCCGAACAGGCCTTGTCGTTGAGGGTAAGGTTATGGCGGCGCATTATACTGGAGATGACACTCACTGCTCTAACGGTGGGGGTATGGCCGTCCTGCACATCAATGACGGTGACAGTGTCTGGGTAAGGGTACAAACCACTGACGGCACTAACGGGATAGCCTGGGAGAGTAGTTTTTCTGGCTTTCTCTTGTATGCTGATTAATAAAAACAAACTCTATATCTCCTCACACTGTCTGCGTTATTAGCTCACTTGGCTCAAGTGAGCTTTTCTGATCTTTGTCCGTTGTCTGTCGTCGTCGTCGGTGTTGTCGTCGTAATCTTTTCATGTTTTCATCTTTTCCTCAAGATCTAGAACCACTGGAGGAAGGAGATTTAATTTTTTTAAAAAGGGCCAGAGTGGAGATGATTATGAATAAGCGAAAAAATAATGGCATTTAAAAAAGTTTCTCTTAAAGAACCACTTGGCCAAGAAAGATGAAACTCATGTTGAATCATCCTTAGGTAGTGTTGATTCAAATCCGTCCAGATCATGACCCCTAGGGGCAAGTTGGCGCAAAAATAGCAGATCAAAATTTTACATAGGATTGTATACATGTAGGAAAAATCTTTAAAACTTTTCTTCTCAAGAACCACTGTTCCAGGAAAGATGAAACTCATATGAAATCATAATCAGGTAGTGTAGATTCAAGTTTTTTTCAAATTATAACCCCGAAGGATAGGCAGGGGTCACAATGTCTGATCAAAGATTTACAATAAAATATTTTAAAAAATTAAAAATCGTCTTTTCAAGAACTACTGGGCCAGGAAAGCTGAAACTCTGGAAGCATTCACAGGTAGCCTAGATTAGGATGGGGCCACAATGGCTGATCAAAATTTTACATAAGAATATATCAGAAAAATCTTTAATAGTCTTCTTCTCGAGAACTACTGGCCAGGAAAGATCAAACATCTGAAATCATCCACAGGTAGTGTAGATTCAAGTTTGGTCAAATCATGTCCCCCGGGAGTAGGGTGGGGCCACAATGACCGATCACAGTTTAACATATATAGAAATATGTTGGAACAATCTTTAAAAATCTTCACAAGAACCATTTAGACAGGCAAGATGAAACTCATGTGAAATCATCCCCAGGTAGTGTATATTCAAGTTTGTTCATAATATGACCCCCGGGGGTCGGGTGGAGCCAGAATGGCTGATCGAAATGTTACACAGGACAGATGGAGTAACCTTTTAAAATCATCTCAAGTACTTCAAAGCCATGATTAGTGATATTTATATGGAATCATTCTCAGGTAGTGTAGATTCTAGTATGTTCAAATCATAAGCCCCAGGGATAGGATGGGGCCACAATGGGGTATCCAAGTTTTACATTAAAATATATTTAAAAAATCTTCTTCTCAATAATAGCAAAGCGATGATTAGTGATACGGGTATTTATATGGAAGCAATAATTAGGTAGTCTAATTTTTTTTTCAAATCATAACCCCCAAGGGAAGGGTGGGGTCATAAAGTTTTACAGAGAAAAAAGGGGAAAATCACAGAACAGAAAAGCTATGTTTAAACAAATTGACATTTAAGCATCCTCATGTATTGAAGATTTAAGGTTCAAATCATGGCCCTTTGGGGTAGGGATGGAAGCAATTGGGAATCAAATCCAAATTATTATGAAGAAGGATATGGAAATAACGAACAGTATTCAATCTCAACGTCCATTAAACAAATATACAAAATAAGAGCAGAGCAAACACGGACCTCCGAAACATCAGAGGTGGGATCAGGTGCCATGGAGGAGTGAGCATCCCCTGCCGACCGGTCACACCCGCCGTGTGCTCGTTGTCATAATCAGGAAATAACGGAAAAAATCCGTGGTCAATTCAGTGTATAAATAATGGACTAACAATTGGTATGAAAAACGTCAGTCAGCATTTCATTCAATGATAAATTGTATTTGCTGACAAGATCATTGTATCGACCATAGAATTTACGAAATGATGACTTTAAACGAGACTGTTGATATTCTTGTTTCATCAACTTGCTTGTCAATAATTTACCTCGTTTAAGAAATTGTTCATACGTAGAGCATGCTCTTGCGTATCGAATCAACTGAGATATAAATACTCCGTATGCAGGTGATGAAGGTATATTGCTGCATAAATAAAGAAAGTTGACGATAGAAAAGATAAAGTCATCACGTTTATCATACAGCTTGGTTGTTAGATTACCATTAACTTCTTTTTCAAGTAAAATATACAAGTATGAAACAGGTGTTTAGACTCTGTGGTATCTTTTATCTCAAGCTCACCAGTCACCAGGATACATTGTATCGACGTAGGAATGGAAATGACCATTATTAATTAACAATACGTCGTCGATATACTGTAAACCAATGTTTATTCACGCGCAAGAAATTTTTGAGAAGTTAAGTTTGAAGTTCAGAACTATATTCTCTTCCTTTTAAAGTATTGAAATCTCACATTTATTTGAAGACACCACCCGCTTTTAAAAACTCTTCACTCTTTATCTGAATTTTGTTTAAATTAATCTTCAAGTAATTTGGCTGAAACTTTTTATGTAAAGCTAAGATTAGATATAATGTTTTGATTGACATGACAGATACGTGATAGATTTGAACTTCAGCTGAAATTATATAATAAACGTTATCTTTCTTAAGAATTTTCAAAATGTTTAAAATATCAGTGTGTTGGGAAAAATATATCTCATAGAGATGGAAAGAAAAAAAACATGTATTATTTACCATATTGTATAACTGATCGTAGCAATTTATAATATAAAAACAAAGTACATGACACTTTTTGATCATTTAAAGTTTTAATTTTTAACTAACTTTTGTAACAATGTTCCATACAAATTAAACTACCCAGTTAATAATATCTGTAGCATAAACAAATGGTATATTGCATTCCTTTATCACACTATAAACTGTTTTACGGTCCGACTATAGATTGCTCCTCTAAGATCGTGAAAGAGTTCTGTTTCATTCAAAAAGATAATGTTCTCTATTTGTTGAAGACGCCTAGCGAAACATATTTTCACATTTAATGTCAAAAGTGCAAAGATTATCAGAAAAAGGGGGAAAACTGTCACGTTCATTTTATCAGCAAATTAGCTTCTATCAAAAATACATTTACATGTTACAAAAAATGAAACAAAAATGATGGATTTGAGATGTTCCCTGCAATGTTTTTTGTATTTCATTCAGTTGTTCTTGTGGAGATATAGAAGGGAATGTGTTCTTGACTTATTGGGTTCTATTACAAGATTCTACGCTTAGATCATGACTATGTGCAATGAAATCAAAAATACTCCTCGTTAAAACCGAGTAACCGAATTCATTGTGATATGACACTTTAAAATTTGTTTTGCATATTTGTATATAATATATATCTGCATCATCTAAGAGAATTATCATGTTCTAGCATCCTGTTACTTCATTGCGTTGTCAATAAATCAACACAATTTATTTTCTTCTCTAAGATAAGAAATGTATTTGTGGAATCCATGAATAACAAGACCCATTTAAGAAAAGTATTTTCTGTACAAAGACCTGACAAATTGTTCAGATAAAAATGATGTCCGTATGTTAATCGTTTTTGATTTTTCTATTTATTTTTGTAACTTTTTTAGTAACTCTCTATCTGGTTCTGCTGATATAAAATATTGAATTATGTTACGTACATGTATAAAACGTGATTGATATTCATTTCTTCAGTTACTTAACTACTTGAAACTTACATTATCTCTACAAATTATCACTATATAGATCATACGTAGATCTTATTATAATTACAGTTTTTACCAGAAAGGAAAAGTTTCTGGAATTAAAAAAAAGCTAAATTTATTTTTAATTATTTAAAAAACTAGTTTTTTATTCGTTTATTTTATTAATATTCATTTATCGTTTTATTGCTTTTTTATCATTTAAATTATGAATGGAAAGTCCTTTTTAAAACTATCTTTAAATGCGTTGTAATTAATATCACCCGTCTTGACCTTAAAGTTTGACCTGATTTAATGAAAAAAAAATATATGCATGCTTACTCTCGATTCCCGCCTACATTTTGCAGCCATTTAATTCGATATTAATGGTAATTTGGCAATAATGAACAGTTAATGATGAATAATTATTATACCAGCGTTAAATAGTTATTTTAGCTTTTGAAAAAAGGGAGGTAGACGATATTTCCCATTGAAATCGGACTTTCAAGCATCACCATATTTTGAAATAGACTTAGGTTTCCAATTGAATATATACTGAAAAAATACTGAAGAGCTTTTATTTTTATTATTTGGTTTGTGTTTATGTCTTGAAATCGTTATATTTTTAAGTTCTTATATATGAAGTAATAACTTTTCATGCAAATTAAATATCTTGTCTGCTTTAGACGTTGGAAGATGTTCCATTATTTTCTTCTAGTAACTAGTTATTAGAGAAAACCACATATATATAAATTTCTTAAAGTTTAATGGCAAATAATGGCCATGGCAGCACTACAATTTTTAGGAAATTACATTTAGTTACTGGTTACAATCGTAACCAAGGTTACCAACCCAAATACATTGGGCGATTTTGGCAACCCAAATGGCAAATGGCAAATACAATTAAATGAAAATCATCATGAAATGGGCAAATACATTGGTTGATTTTGACAACCCAAATGGCAAATAAATGGCAAATACATGTAAATGAAAATCATCATGAAGTAGGCAAATATAGAAATGAATATGAAATAGGCAAATATACAAATGAAGCTGTTAAGCAACCTACTGGCAAATAATACATTGCAAATGTTTCATCCAGTGTGACACAAATAAGCAAATTGAAATTTCACACATATTGAAAATAATTATGTACAGTTGTAGCGAGCCCTTGGAACAGATGCTCACTAAATATAACCCTATTTAAGTTCAGCTAAAGATTGCGTAGTCTTATTCCATTCGTTATACATACAAATCGGGAATCGTACGAAAAGCAGTCACATGTAAGACAACAGTGAGCTCTGGGGCAAGTTACTCACTACACATAATAATCACTATTCAAGTCCACCGACAGATTGTGGAAGGCATCTAGAGAATTGTAACTTCATTGGTGCAGGTACGGTAATAGTTGGTTACATCAACAACCATCGGAGGTTACAGCCATGCAGTGCGCCACGACGAAGTAAGGTGTTGAACTATGAGATGTACAAGGTTCACATATAAATCACTATTCAAGTTCAACGACAGATTTTTGAACGCATCTAGAGAGTTGTAACTTCA